CTGTATGGAAAACCAATCCACAGATTGTTTCTTGTCCTCTGAAAAGGAAGTTGAGAGGTACTAGTGATGGCAAATAATCCACTTAGATTTCACAAATAAAACATCTTACAAATATATGGCTCATCCTACCTCTGGGGGAATACAAAATGCCATTTTAAATTTAAAAAATTAATTGTGTGTATACTTCATGTTAGAATAAAATATAAAATACTATCTATATAAAGAATAAACACATAAAATAAAGTTATATATCTTAAAAGTTTAGACAGAGGTATCTTTATAGAGAGGTGCAAACAATGAAAGTGTAGTTAAATGTCCAAACTTAGCCAAAATATGAAAGTTTTAGAAGAATAGTTTTTTGGAAAAAAGTAGTCAGACTATTGAAACCACCCTTGTAGTATATTTCTTGCATAAATAACCATTCTATCTATCATATATTTTATCTAAAAACTGTTAAGAGCACTTCATAAAAGTTTTTAAGCTTATTTTTTTCTCTAAAACTGAGTAAAACTTGTAGACAAATAATAGCAGAAAGAAAAATAACTTATATGGCTATTCTCTTTCTGGAAACTGGTAGAACACGGCAGCATCAGACAGACAAAATACTTCAGAAAGAGCTATCTATGGGTACACCTTTAAATTCTCTTCTGAGGAAAAATCCCCATAGATTTCATCATGGAAGTGCCAACCCCTGATAATACCTCTCTTAGCTGTCTTAGTTCTCTGTATAAAGATGAACCAGAATCAAAGGGGTTTATTTTCCATTTCTTGCATGAAATATTTGTAAACAATATAATAAGAGTAATTTTTTAAGACCTATAAAGAATGAATTTCCTATTGGACTATTCTAATACATCTAGCAGTTAAATGGTTTTGAAAGTAGTAGACTGGACTATAACATAGTTCTACAACTCTGGCTATATTTTGAGAGATACTTTCTAAAAACAAAAATGACTAATGGGCAGAAAAATGATTCTACACTAAGAAGGCATTGGTATCTCTGGAAGTAGGGCCCAATCTAAATTTGTACAAGGATTTTTTTTTTAATTTGAAAGCATTTTCCTTGTTTAAGTCGTTCAATGTAGTAGCATAGCTTCATGACCGTTCCCAGATTCAGACCCAAGTACTTCAGCATCACGTCGCTCGTGAGTAGGAGCAGAGCCTTCCATCAATTTCCTGTGGAGAGAAGAAACGTAACAATAATTAGTAATGCTTCCATATTTTCAACAGAGCAGTTAGTTCTTTATGAGAACATGTAAAGCAAACTAGAGAACAGTTCATTGCAGATGTTATTCTCTGAATATGCATCTGCTTTATGAACGCTATTAAAAATATAACTTGTACAGTGAAGCACCACTTGGTAATGTATAAACTCACTTCAAGTTCTAAGAAAAAGGAAATTTAACCTAATATCTTAAAAATAAACTGTGTCAAACTTAACTTTAAATACATACTCTACGTTGAATAAAATACTACACATCCATGACAAAATAGTAAAGACCAAGAAGAGCAAAAATGAATTTCAGATGGTCATTAATTTCTGAGAAGGGCTGGGAAGATGAGTATGTCAGCATCAGTGCAAACTATAAATGTCTATACAATGTTGTCTTTACCATGAATGTGAATTCGTTGTCTGAAGCTAATTAGATGCTAAACTAATGACCAACTTTCTTACTATACTGAAAGTCAGCTATGTGGCTACTAATTTTATTTGTTAGGATACAGTGTGAAAATATTTCTTCATAGTCACAAAGCATCCTTTTAAAATTCCTTATCTTAACTGAGCAACTTAAGCTGCTGAAGCATATGACTTGGTTTTATATGTTCCAGTTTAAAAATAAAATCTCACTCATTTAACACTATCTGAAAAGATCTGAAATCCCTTATAGTACAACCTTATCTGAAAAGACCTGAAATCTCTTATAGTACAATCTTTGTTTGGCACCTTCCATATTTTTTCTACTGAGCATAACTCAAAATTAAAGAAACCGAATCTTATAAAACTTTGGCCTAGGATATTACTTTGTAAATGATCTGGTAATAGCAAGAGGGTATTAGCATCACAAATCATCAATAATAAGGCAAATAGAATCAGTTGTTGAATCACCGGTTATATAGAAAGAAGGTTACTCTATGATAGTTTGTGCTTAACCCCTCTTCCTCGTGGTCCTGGTGCCCAGCTGGGAGCAGATGCGGGAGGATCATTGTATCTGTCCTTACAAAGGGGAGGTACACCTGAGTGGCCATGCTGAATCATCATGTCTTGAGAAGTTGAGGCAATTTGTAGTTTAGGCACTTTGATACCCATTGAAGAACAGACTATTAGCCTACCATCTTAAGGCTAACCTGGGGCAAAATAACCTTTCTGACATGGAAAAATCAGTTGATAGGGTTCACCCACTATTCACACAGTATCCAGCTGAAAGGCTTGCACAGAGGTCATTCAAAGACATTACAGCAAGAAACAGGATCAAAGATGCATTACATGGATTCTGAAGAGATCGACAAGAGGGGATAATGTCTTAGGATCCGTTTGCTTCAGAAATAGGACCACTGCTTCCACCGACCATGTTGCAGGGTGCTTAATGAAGTTGTCCTCTAAATACATGTCATTGTCCACTGGTACACTTGTAACTTCAATGGAGAGGAGAAAAGAAAAAAGATAAATCACACTTGTCCTGATTATTATCCTGAAAGAACAGATGTTAGGAAGGGAGGAATGGTGTCTTTGTTGAAACCTTCTGTGACGTTCCTAGCAAGGAGTCAAGACTCCAACTGTAAAATCTAGTGAAAGTCTATATAAAGATGATGTGAGGATGCCTACACAAGAGCGGCCCATCTGACCTTCCCTAGATAGCAAAGACAGGTTCAGAAGTTACCTTAAAGTTTCAAAGATCACAACACAGATGAAGCAAATCAAGTCTTCTTTGGCCACAGGCAAATATGGCAAAAGATCTGTCACTTGGGTAAAATTAGGTTAATCTAGCCTAACGTATGACTCTCTTACTTCAAGTATTTCAAGGAATTGCTCTCTTAATCTCTCTCTTGGTCTATCTAGATTAAGTTGATTTTACTAGCTAAATCTAATGGAAATTCCCCAAATTTACAGTTTTATAATTGCTTAAATTTGTTTCTTTTAATAAATGAATCTCAATAACAACCCCATTATCTTAAGAACCAAATCAGTCCTTTTATCAAATCTTCACCATGTATTCAATAAGGTTATTTTTAGTATCACTTTACTCTTTAGATTCCTGTCCCTGATGGCCTAAGTGCTAATGTGCACTTTGAAGAAGACAAGATCGCTTTCTGCTAAACTAGGCCAGAAGTAACTATAACATTTTATTTAATTCCTCTTTCATGCTTAATTGCATAGTAATAGAGATTTTGGTCAAAGGTTTATATGTTAAAAGAAGAAATAACTGAGATATGAGACAATTAAGTGCTCATACTTCAGAAAGTTTAGCTACGCTCTATACTAAGCTGTGTTGAAATTTCTTTGTGTACTGCTAAGTATTCTTTTACTCACCCAGAGTGTTCGATTCCCTAAAATTAGTGTGTGATGACTAAAGTGGGTTTCATAAGTAGTTAGGGAAATTTGTTTCTCCACCAAGACCAACAACACAATTTGATCTGTGTGTGTGTTGTGTGTGTGTGTGTGTGGTGTGTGGTGGTGTGAATTAGCCAAAGCATACCCTTTCTTCCCTATCATCTGGGCTCTTGCCATCTCAGGAGTGTTTTTTATTTATCTAGGGAAAGAGTAAAAAAAAAATAGAAGATTTTAAAAATCACAATGAGGCAGAGCTCTAGAAGTGCTACTCATCAGCTCTGTGACCTTGGGGACAGGGTAAGAAATGTGCCAACACCATGGTGTCATTATAAGTGGGGAAGAGGGGTGTCGGCTGATTGGCACAGTGCCTTGCACATAATAGACACTCAATAAATGTTAGTCATCATTCTGAATATACCCTAAAACCAGCCCTCAAAATAGGAAATGAGCAGCTTCTATTAGTTTGCATCAAGGATGTTGATAAATGCAGGTCAATAGTGCTACTTGTAGATACAGCATTTCAACTCACCAAAACCAGAACGGAAGCAGAGAGATGATACAATGTGCCTAATCTCCACTAAAGCTGAGTAACTCATCATCTCAGGGGCATGTACTGAACTGGGCTCTCCCTGGGCCAGCATACCTGAAAGTGGTACTGCGAAAGAGGCGGTCAGGTGAGTACTTGCCTTGGCTGCTGTTAACCCTAGCGCTGCCACGGTAGGGGCCGTGAAGAGCCAGGCATTGCACCATCAGATGCATAAGACGGTTGAAAACCATGCTCAGAGTGGTCTGAGGGATGCACTGGACTCGGAGTGCAGCTGAGGACTGGGTCCTCCTCCGGCTCAGCTCGCTGGTATTCTTCCATGTGAAAGGATGGTGCTGGATTGTTGCTCTGGGAATTATCCGCCCGCACTGCCACCGGTGAAGTGGGACTATAACTTTGAGAGTAGGAGAATGTCTCGTAAGCCTGACTTTTCTTCATTTTTCTGGAGTTTAAGCTTTTAGCAAGCAGGCAAGAATAATTTCTGTAGCATATCCAATATCAAAGCCAGATGCTTCTGAAATCACAGAAACACGCATCACCAACGGTGAGTAAAAAAGTAATAAAATGAGTAGTAATACATTAATACTTATTTTCCATGCAACTTGCTTTACATTATTAAAAATAAATGCTCCTTTTTGAGTATATAATTGATTCTTCTTCAATTCTACATTTTAATTGTATTTTACACATGATAGTTACAAACATAAAAATACGCAGTGTCATAAGTATCAAACCTAAACTGTCGGCATTCTCCCAACCGAGAGTCAGTAGTCTCCATCTACATACAAGATAGACATGCCTTGCTAATCTCACACAGTTACTGGTACTCTCTCACTTCTAGCTGATTGGCATCTTTACAAACCAAAGGTTTATCATAGTTGTAAAAATGTTTTTTATAACACTTACGCGATTCGTCGACCCTGCTTTTGCATTGAAACGTTGGATTTTTGAAACCTTTCTGCTAATGCCATCAATCTTCTTATCCAGGTTTTGGATAGCATCATATATAACCTATTACAATACAATATAGTTATATAATAGGTATACAGTGTATAATATAATGTAGTTTCTATTTCAAAGAAAAGTAACATGAAAATACCATTAAGTCAAATGTCAACTGCTAGACACAGCAAAAGTTCTCAAGCCATCAGAAATGTCTTGCTTCTATTCAAGGCCTGGCTGTAGGTGACACAGAGCCAATAGGCTGAGTTCAGGAGCCCCAATGTCTCTTCCCCTGCTCTACCCCATGTCGGCACTGAGGAAGCTCTAATGGTGGCAAATGAATGTGCTACAATGCCTCTACACTAGCACACTGATGATGGAGACACTGCACATCAAGGAAGGTGCTATTTTAGGAAAGAAATGCTCAAATCTGCTAAAAGAACAAAGACTCACTTTATAATGTTCATATGTAACATATGTTCATATATCTACAAATATGAAGTCTATATTATAGACAGCAAGTGTTCCACTCCAGAAGGAACACTGAACCAAATATAACAGATGTGACTTTTGGCTTCAAAGTACTTTTAAATCATGCAGCCAGTAATTAACCTTACAAAACCATGGAGTACACATGAGATTTATACGCCAATCAAGCACATAGGAGACTGATAAAAATCTGAGAATTCCTGAAATACGCAGAAACTTTGGGTAAAGAAAAATATACTTAACAAAGGGCCAGAAACATTTCCTCATTAATTCATTCATTAATTCTTTCATTTATCCAAACCTTTATTGACAGCCTACCACCTGGCAGAACTACTTTGCTAGGTGTTGAGAACATGGACTGAAAAAAGGCTCCTGATCAGGTGTAATCCCAGCACTTTGGGAGGCTGAGGCAGGTGGATGGCTTCAGCTCAAGAGTTAGAGACCAGCCTAGGCAACATGGCGAAACCTCCGTCTCTACCAAAAATACAAAAAATTAGCCAAGTGTGGCAGTGTATGCCTGTAGTCCCTGATACTAGGGAGGCTGAGGTGGGAGAATCACCTGAGCCTGGGAAGTTGAGGCTGCAGTGAGCTGTGCCTGTGCCACCCCACTCTAGCCAGGAAAATGGAGTGAGACCCCACCCTATTTAAAAACAAACAAAAAGCTCCTCTCCTAGAGGAACTGCCATCTCAGCTGGGGAGAGACAAGTAAAAAGAGAATTCCAATAGACAAAGTGATTAATAGCCTGGAACAGTGGTTTGCAAAGTGTGGTCGACAAAACGGTGGCATTAACATCACCCGCAAGCTCATCAGAAATGCCAAATTCCAGGCTGTACCCCAGACCTATGGAACCGGGAACTCTGGGAGTAGGGGCAGTGGTCTATGTTTTCACAAGCCCCCAGGTGATTCTGATGTCCCCGGTGAGAACCACTGGGCTGCGAGGGTTCTACAGTGCAGGCTCTAGGGGAACATGGTTGGGGTCAAATACTAGAGTCCAGCCATTTACTGGCTCTGTGACCCTGGGCAGGTTACTTAACGTCTCTGTGCTTCAATGTCCTCATGTAGGGAATCGGGATGAAAATCTCTCTCAGGGTTCTCTTGATGAGAACCTTGCTATAGTATTAGGTTAATGCTAACAGAAACAACACTACACTATGCCCAGTTCAACGGTGCTCAGTGTTATTAGTTACTAGTGTTACTAGTGTTATTACCAGCATCGTGACACAGGCAGGAACAGGAGGCTAAGCATGCAGAGAAGAGTGGGCCTAACCCAGGCTGGCAGTCATAGAGAACTTTTCAGAGGAGGTGAGGTCTGAGGTGAGAATTAAAACATGAGAAGGTGCTTAGCAGGTGAGGATGCATGTAAGGGCTTACAGGGCGGAAGGAACAACAGGTTCAAAAATACCCACAGAGAAAAACAGGAAGCCAGGTGTGGAGACGGCAAGTATCAATGACGTTCCAGGAATGGGGCTGTCATGGTAAGGAGAGAGTGAGGATGACAGGAAAGGAGGGATGGGAGGCAAGAAAAGTGGCTTCTCCAAGCTGTGGGAGAACTTATAGAGGGGAAGGAGGGAATGGGACTGGAGCCAGAGGAGAGAGAGGGATGTCCGATGGGGGGGCAGCTCTGAGTTTGGAGAGGGGACCAGAGGCAGAACAGGGACTGAAGCCAGAGGAGAGAGAGGGATGCCCGATGGGGCAGCTCTGAGTTCGGGGAGGGGACCAGATGCAGAAAGCAGTGAGGGTGTCAACCCTGGTCACTAAAATGGTTGTGAAAAGGTCAGAAGGCTGAGCATGGGGCAATTGGTTGACTATGGGGACAGATATGAGGACTTGGAAGGGAGGACTGCCCCAGGTGCTCCACTGTCTCTAGGAAGAGGCAGGACTACGGGACTGAGGTAGGCAGGGGACGGCCAGCAGAGGGTGTCCTCCTCTGCTCCCAGCCTAAGCAGGAGGGAGGTGGACTCAAGAGGGAACTGGGATGAAAGAACAAGGCAGGCTGCAGCGACACCCCTGTGATCTAGAATGGATAAGTGAAGAAAGAGCCAGTCCCTTGGGAGGAATGGAGAAGGGCCCTTGGGCCATTTCATTTGGTTGGTAATGAGCTTTTTAAAAAGCTACAAAATCTACATGTTGCTATTTCAAAAATGTCACCAGGAAATGTGGCTCTAACCAGAAATTGTTTTTAAAAAATAATCACAACGGAATGATAATCATAAATAATTTGATAGGCAAAATTTCAATTAATTGTACACTTTCCTTTTATGTGAGATAAGGAGAATTTTGCTTAACATTTTAGAGAACTACATTGAAGAGACAGAACTTCCATACCTGGCAATAGGTAAGGACATCATACACTGACTTCGGTTGCTCTTCAGTATTACAGGATGCATCAGCTACAGTAATCGGTTCCTGCTAGTAGTTTTAAAGTGGTTAATGCTTTCTTTCTGTAACGTCAAACTGAACACCAGGGGCGAGGGGAACTATATTTATTTATTTAAATTGTTTTTATTTATAACCAACTTCTTAATGGTTTTCAGAAGTCTTAATCTAAAGCAGAGATTTAAGAAATTCACATTTAGATGAGAATGAAAATGATAACTGACAATTGAGGAAGGAGGCAATAAAAGAATTTATTATATCGGAAGAATCCAGGTTTAGAGTTTTGTACTGAAAGTGAGTACAAAACTACTCTTAATTTTCTACTATATAAGAAAAAGTGGAAAGTAAAATGGTTAAGTGCTCATTCTCTGATGAAAGAAAGCATTCAAATTCAGGGGAGAGATATTTTCTTGATTGTGAGTTTATGGGAACTCCATAGCATACGAGGAATTTAAATTTTTTTCTTTAAAACAGCAAGTGTTAATATATTTGGCAATTAGCAATTAACACTACTTACCTCAGTTTTTGTTTCATTTGCAAATTTATGTTTTGTTTCATATGCATGAAGAACAACAGTGTTGTCATCATCATAAGTAGATATTCTTGTTTTTATCTGAGGAAGATTTATCAACAAATTAAAAGGAAAGATGAAAGACAGAACTAAAAGAAAAGTTGAGGGTTTAATTTCACTTTCAAGAAGCTTTTACAAAGGGCTATTTGTGATAGCAAAGGAAATTTGCTCATTGTAAATACTATGACTACAAAAAGATGTGCTTGCGGAACTGTGTTCTCATTAACCCAACAATACTTAAGATAACAGTTTTCACTAAGCTTAACCCTTTATATGCTTCATGGTAGAAAGACCAGTCCTTTAGCACCAGAACTACTTTAAAAGCAAGTGTTTCTAACCATGAACAAAAAAATAAATGTTATATGGTTTTTGATTTCTAAATAATCCAACAGTGCCCCTCTGTGGACAAGACAGAAAACATCTGAGCACCTATTTTTCTTCATAAATTAATCTCTAAAGTACCTTAAAACTTTTTAAAATAAGATAGGGTATAAATAAGTAAGTAGTGAATAACCGTTACACTTCAATATAATAACTCTTCATTCTAAGAATGAATTATGAATATAGGAATAATTTTAAAATAAACATACTTGGTAGCTATGTATGCTTTTGTTTGAAAATACATGATAGAAATTACAAAAAATATGGAATTAGGTTACAGTTCAGTATTTTTAAAAATATACTATCCTAGTCTTGTACAGTGCCTCATGCTTTTCAAAGTGCTTTTACATAGTTATGTCAGAGAAAAATGACTCTTGGTAGGCACTTAACATTATCTTCAAAGATTTTTGAAAAACAGTAGAACTGATAGTAGTTAAGAGATTTGCCTAGACTACTTAGGTAGCATTACTATCTATGTCCTTATGTAACTAAAAAAAGGTGTTTTCTGTTAAGCCAAATTAGATACAGTTTAATAATCTATATACTGATTCAACTTGAAGGATTAAGAAATATAGAAGAATATAACAGAAATGTAAAAACAGCACAACTACTTTGAAAAACTGTTCAGCAGATTCTCACAGAGTTAAATTTACGGAACTCCATAACCTAGTAATTCAACTTCTGTTGACCCAAAAGAAATTTAAGTGTGTGTTCACAAAGAAACTTGAACACAAATTGTCACAAGAGCTTTATATATTACTGCCAAAATACATAACAAAAATTCAATTACCTATGCATTTTACTATATAAAATTAAATTTAGAATAGAAGTATGGCACAATAAAAAGAACAAAGACGCATTTTCAATTTGAATACAAACCACATCAGCTTCACTGGTGTTGCTAGACATCATTTTTGTGATACTGCTTAGTCACCTGAGAGTGGCAAACCTCTACTCCTGAAAAGCAATGCATAAGAAAGTTACTTCATATCCTTACTACCTTAATAATACGGATATGCTCTCAGAATGCTAATTCAAATTGAATTGGACTTTGGGTTGAATTTTTAAAAGTGACAAAACCAGATTTCTTCCATGGCCAATTTAGAATAAATCTTTTAAAACTGAAGGGCTATATTGCCCATGACTAGAAATAAGAATCGAATCAAACACATTTACCAACTGCTTAGCAACTTAAAGCCTACAGAGTAAATGCTGGAAACAAATGAACAAGAGAACATAAGGGCCAACTGCTTTTGTAAAGGAGCTCCAAAAGGCTCTTGACTAAGGAGAACACATTGCCTCCAAAATGTAAGCCGGGCGTCTATTCTGGATTGAGACCCCACCAGTATGTGGGCTGGACAGCCCATGAGAGACACCATCTTCCCATGCACCAGGTTTTGAATACCAGCGGAGACGATCTCTAAGGTCCATTTCAGTTTTCAAGTTAGGATTGCCTTATTACATTGCATATGAAACCTAAATAAATGGCTGTGAAAGGCAAGCCAAACAATCTAGAATTAGGAAGGTTCAGTTATGGCTCTGAATCACTTAACTATGGAAATAGAAGATACTGGCTACAACCGTATCAGATTATATCTTGTACTAGAGATTTGCTTTGAAGGTCTGCATCCCAGTTACTGGGAAGGGTATGTTAATAAAAGAACTACTTCACTTTATCCTTCCTGAGCCAGAGCAGTAATGAGAGGCACAAGTAAGGGATTCAAGTTTCATCTCTTTTCCCGTTTCCCTTTCATTCTATAGTAGAGATACTAATGACCATTCTATAGTGGAGATACTAATGACCATGAGCCCAAAAGAGAGAAATCAAAAGGGGATAAAGAAGATGGGAGAACTCAAGTTAGATAAATGCACACTAATGTTGCATAGAGGTATCAAGTTGTAAAATACCTCTAATTGGAGCTCTAACTTCAATCAAATTTCACTTTTTAAACTATTTGAGTTTTTCGGACCATAAGACTTACACAAGCTATGAGTAATTCAATTGTGGTATATTCATACAAAAGAACTACACAGCAATGAGAATAAACCAACTACTGCCACACACAGGAAGGCCAAATCCCACAACCATAACCTTGAGTTTAAAAACAGCCAGACACAAAAAAGAGAATATAGTATATGACTCAACTGACATTAAACTCAAAAACAGGCAAAAGTAACCTACGGTAGAAAATCTTTCCAAATCAATACTTTTAGATTTACTGTAGTTTCTGTAATGACTTCTTAGTGGTCTATCTCATAAATATGCCATGATTTATTAAACCAGTCCCCAATTCATAAATTCATAGATATTCAAGTTACTTCTAAAGTCTTGCTCTTACAAAGAACACTGCACAACAGTCTTGCACCTGTGGAAGTAGTTCTATGGGATAAATTCCTAGAAGTAGAAACAACGGATAGGTATCCACGTTTGAAAACTCTCCTCTACTTCTTCCCATTAAGGAGGGCTGTTGGGGTCAGCCAGATGTTCTAAACTAAACTAAGGTGGTATCCTGCCGGTCCTGCATGTAGTTTTAAAACCAAGACAGATAAATAGTACCAAATCGCTTTCTTGGCATCAGATGACTAAATCGCTTTTCTCCTTTGACCTCCTGATGCAACGTATTAATACATTTCTTAATGTTCTGGGGGTGAGGGGTCCAGCTGATTATAAAGAACAACATTCAATTTGTTGGTGTTTTATTTAGAAATTGTTTGCATCTCTATTTCTAAGATCTTACATTAGTGAGATGGTATATTTCTCACAATTAATGAATCAGTATTGATACATTATTAACACTTGGTATCAAAATTGCTCTGAAAAATTAGCTGGGAAGCCTTTCATCTCTTTCTATGCTCTAAAAATGTTTACATCACACCAGAATTTTTGTGCTCTAAAGGGTTGAATTAAACAAAAAGAAACTCTCTGGGTCCAGCTTTTATAACGTTTTCTAAGTTCCTCCATGGATAATGAGCTAAGCAAATTATCCTATCTTTCCTTGAGTTGTTTTGACAAATTATTTTATCTGGAAGGATAATCATTTCATCACAATTACAGAAATTTTAGCAAAACCACGGTTTAAAATTACTATTTCTAATTTAATTTGTACTTTCCTTTGATCCTTTGACTAGGTATTCTATCTTGCTAAATTGCTGACAACCCTCTAGGGTAGGTTCTATTAGTATCCGCATTTTCCTTATGAGAAAACTGAAGCAAAGACAGTTTTCTTTCTTTTTAGGGGTGTCCAAGGGAGAGAATACATTCATGGGTTCTTAGTTTCTGTTTCTGGTTGGTCCAGTAAACCCCCTCCTCATCCCCCTTTTCCACTTATCACTAGAGACAGAGGCTAGAAAGCATGGCTTCAGGCTGCTGAAAGACTAAAACAAAACAAAACAGAAGGACAACAATGACAACAACAACAACAACAAAATAAGTCGGGTTGGACAAGCTTGATTTAAGTAATTTACCAAGGTCTTATAGCTAGTAAATGGTGCAGTCTACCACCACACTCTACGAGCTTTACTTCATTATTAAAATCACCTGGAATACCTCTGCTGCCAATAACACAGGAAAATCCAAACTCCTAGCATGGCTTGCAAGGTCCTTCCACAATCAGGACCCTGCCCACTGCGCAGAGGTCACTTCTTACCACTTGCCCCTTTACTCTAAGCCAGGGGTCCCCAGCCCCTGGGGAACCGCCTGGTACCTGTCCTTGGCCAGTTAGGAACCAGACTGCACAGCAGGAGCTAACAAGCATTGCCCCCTGGGCTCCACCTCCTGTCAGATGTGTTGCAGCATTAGATTCTCACAGAAGCAGGAACCCTACTGTGAACTGCATGTGCAGGTTGCACTCTCCTTATGAAACAATTTCATTGCAAAACAATATTCCCCCACCCCCAGCACTCTCCCGGTCCCCCAGGAAACCAAACGGGTCCCTCTTGCTAAAAATGTTGGGGACTGCTTGTTCTAAGCCTAAATATTTACTATGTAGCCTGTTACAGGGAGTTTGCAGACAATGGTTGCAAGCTCTTACATCCAGAGAACAGAGAACTCCCCAGTTGGATTAATTACAATGTTGTCAAAACTTGGGGTAGACAGGGAACACTGTGTACCTGGACTCCCAACATGTTTATGTTTGTGGTACATATGCAAATCAACACCAATCTTGCACTCTGAGCTTCTTGCTCCTGTTATGCCCTCTACCCATAATACCCTGTTGTGTCTCCACCCAGGAGAACCTATTCAAGGCTTAATTCAAGTTTCACCTCCAAAAAGCAAGAGCGCTATGCCAATGATCATCCCATGTGGATGTGACATGGCTTTCCCTGAACTACAAGAACACTCACACTTTAAGACTTGTGAGCAACTGTCACACATATCTGGTTACATGAGAGGCAGCATCAAACGGCATTAAGACCTTAGGCTTGTGGCCAGAATACCTGGGTTTGGGTCCCACCTCCCCCACATACTAGCTGTGTAAGTAAGTTGAACAACTTACTTAAATCCTCTGTGCTTCATTTGTTTTGTCTGTAAAATGGGAATGATAATAGCACATACCTCATGGAATTATAAGGATTAAATGAATTAATACATGTCAAGTGCTTAGAGCAATGCCTGGCAAAGATAGCAAAAGCTTTTGGGTATTGACCACATCTATCCAACA